TGAATGGGTAACTCCCTCTCTTGGATATCAGCATGTGAAGGACACTGTTCAGGAACTAGTTGATGCTCTGTATGTGATGGTTACTTCCAGATTTTAAGAAAAAGTCAGACTTTTGGGAGAAAGTCAGAATTTGGAGATTTTGAGAAAAAGTCAGAATTTTGAGAAATGTTGACAAAAAGTCAGACTTTTGAGAAAAAGTCAGAATTTTTGAGATTTTTAGAAGAAGTTCGAATTTTGAGAAAAAATCTGAATTTTGAGAAAAAATCTGGAGATTTTGGAGAAAAAGCAGACAGTTGCTGTTATTGCTTCATGATAAAGCAGAAAACTAGTGTTGAACCAGTGTTCAAAAGAAAAACGCATAGTATTTTCTAATAAAAGCACAACATGTATAATATATGGAAGCCCTAAACAGCCATGGTTCAAATGTTTTATCCTTAGTTATTGTTACGGCCGCCGCCTTCTCTCTGCCCATTAACCTTTCAGTAAGTGTTTGCAGCTGTGTGTTATATGTATACGTTGCCCAGACGCCATTAGATGCCAGCTTCCTGTTCCTCCCCCGGTAGGCGTGACCGAAGATCTGGTTTGGAGCATGCCGGGCCGACTCTCCAATCCCCGCACAGACCTTCCGGGGACAGCTACAACAATGTGTGCTCCTCAGTTAGTCGGGAGAGGTCTGAATCTGGGGCAGACGTCTCTCGGTACTCTCTCTGTACATTCGGTGCTAGTTTGTGTTAATGGTGGTTAACTAGGTTGTGTGTATATTTGTGCTTGTTCTTATAACTCTGATTATCTTGTAATACAAACGTTAACTGTGGTTAACTTGTACACAGGCTGTGTTTTGGTGACTGCCTATTTTTGTTAGCCTTATTCTTTTTATCCCACTTTAGATGTGAGGTTTTCTTTAGGCTATTTTGTTTGTCTAAAACTTGCAAACTCTTATTTAAAGAGTCTCCCTTAGTTCCTTTATTTACTTATTTAAACCGGTGCCTTTGTGGCCTTTTTGTTTTGATTGTGGCCAACTTGTGCGCATTCATTAAAACAACTTCCTATTTACCAATTTCAACTGGTTATATGTTACCTTCCACTTTCCACGAGCCGGGACGTAACAGTTATTCTGTAATTGTATTTGTTTCAGAAGTTATTTTTCATTAACTTCAGAAAACAAATGTTGTTTTTCTCAGATACATAAATAAAGACCTATAAAGTTTAATTAAACATTTCTATTTTCATTTGAAATTAATAGCTTATTCTGGATTATTGCAAGAATGTTTTATTTTCTCGATGTCAAAATAATTGTCATCTCTTCAAAACAGCTTTTATTCTTTGAAGCTAATGAGATGAATACTTGTGACAGGAAAAGGACAGTCAGCTGGTTTAGTCAAAAACAGGAGACAAAAACATACAAAACATTGAATTTACTCGATGCAACAAGAGTCATTTTAAATCCTGTATATATTTGTTTAAAATGGCAGACGTTAATTGATCCTGTGTTTACGACAGATAGCTTATTCAGAATATCACTAAAGTAAACAGAAGCACTTATCACATTATACAGGTTTGAGGCTCTTAATACACAATTAAAGCATATTTCTAATATTGTAATGCATATATAGATATCATCTGAATATCAAAATATGATACACAATTCATACATTCACAAAACATGTCATTTATCTTAAATCTATACAGTTATGAAATCATGTCTATTTATAAAAAAGGTACAAATTTGACATCAAAATGAGACAAATGTAGGAAATAAAAACAGAGATCTTAATGAAAATGTGGCACTTTGTCCTCTGCTACATCAGTGACAGTCAGTCCTGTATCTGTCACAGAATCACACAAATCACACTTTTCTCCAACAAGAAACATGTCTATTCTGCTTTCTCAGCTTTAAGCGAAAAACGTGACATTTAGGAAAAAGAACGTCCAGCGGATTGATACCACTCTTATGTATAATATCAACCTACCACCAGTCATCATTAGCATAGCTTAGCATATAGACTGGTCTATTACTTTACAACTAATCTGCAAGTTAACCCGTCAGTGAGCTGTTTAGCTAACTAAAGTTAGCAATTGAGCTATGGAATGTTATCTACAGTATCTATCTGTAAATCACACTTTTCTCCAATAAGAAACATGTCTATTCTGCTTTCTCAGCTTTAGTCGAAAAACGTGACATTTAGGAAAAAGAACGTCCAGCAAAAAGTTTGAAAAGAGGATTGATACCAGGCTAAATATGAAGCTATCACCAGGCATTAGCATAAAGACTGGTCTATTACTTTACAACTAATCTGCATCCTCAATCAATTTAATTCAATGTATGAAGCCCCGCCCCCAGAAGGGTAGACAAAGGTCCACAGTTTGACATTTATAAAAACAAGTTAACCTAGAAAGAAACCAAATGTAATTAGCCTATCAGTGCGCTGGTTAGCCGCCAAACGTTAGCTATTTTACTAGCTAAGTTATACATCCATCCATCTGTAAATCAAGCTAGCTAATGTTCACTATCTATCTACATAGCTAGCTTACATTAGCTACCCATCTAAAAGATAGCTCTCAGCTTTAGGCGAAAAACGTGACATTTAGGTAAAGAACGTCCTGCAAAACGTTTGAAAAAGAGGATTGATACCGGGCTCATGTACAATATCAACCTACCACCAGTCGTTAGCATAGCTTAGCATAAAGACTGGTAAAGGAGGAAGCCTCACAAGTCTGTCTCATACTTCACAACTAATCTACAAGTTCACCAGAGACTCAGTTAACCTGTCAGTGAGCTGGTTAGCTAGCTAAAGTTAGCAATTTAGCTATGGAATGTTATCTATATATATCTGTAAATTGTTAGAAATTAAAATCAATGTTTTGATGGTATAATGTAGCTTAAACATACCGTCAGTTTAAACGCTGTTTTATACTGAAATTCTCGTGCACAACCAGTTAAGCTTTTATTCTGAAAATCCTTCATCTCCGGTTAGCATTTAGCATGTGGCTAATATACGATTCCCTAAAGAGGTGAATTTAGTAGCGAAATGACATGGAGTGGTGCAAACCGAAACCTACTGATTTAACAATACAATTATAGATGTCGAGATACTACCATGCTGAATATTAANGGGGGGGTGGTGATGATGAGGGCGTGCCAGCAGTGTTGGTGACAGGAAGCCACCGGAGTGCCCGCCACCGTGGACTGTCACCTTAGCAACTGTCACCACAGGAATGGTCACATTTGCCAAGGTGACGAGGTGTATCTCAGCCTCGGGGGGCCCTCGGTTAGACGAAGGAGTTCATGGCGTTGACGGGCGACGGGGCCTCCGAACTCTCGTTCCCTTCGTGTGTGTCTTTCTCTTTCTTGCCGCTGTACTGGCCGATGAAGGATCCGTCCTCGTTGAACTGTCCGTCCCCGCCCTCCCCGTAGTCCACCAGGCTGTCGTCGCTCTCGTCGCGGCGCACCGTCCCGTTGGACGGCGTCCGGCTGCCCTTCAGCGGCTTGTGGTCCTCCGTGTCGCTGCGAAAGAGATGGAAGGAAGGTTATTGAGAAGATCATTTGTGGAAGATTGTTGATCTTTCTGCAGTGGTCAGAAACCCTGATGCCACAAAGAGTAATCTGGCTTCTCCACTGCACGAATATCCCATTTACTGTGTGAAACTAGGAATATATATTGCTGTTGTGTGCACAGTTTGCTACAAATGTGCAACATCAATGAAAATTAGGAATTCATAGCTTTGATTGACTACGATTAATATCACTACTGATTCAATATAAAAGGTGGAATATGTTCCCTTTAAGTTGAATAAACTCTAACTAAAGGCTTACTATATTGTACAGTAACAATGTCCTGGAACATCACTCTGCATGGAGCTTGTACAGTGGAGCAGCTCAGCTACGTCTATGGTATTATCTACACACTATAGTGTTAGTGCTGCTTTCAGTCTGGGTTAGAGTTGGTGACCACTGCTAGAGAGGATTTTCCAAAAGCGTGCCGTTCAGTCTCTTGCAATACTTTACCTTCAAATCAACCAATATGCTTTCAGTTGACATGCAATCCAAAATGCACTTATTTTTCAGTCCTCCCCCAAAAGATAAAACCTGGTTTCATTTGATCTAAAAACATCCCTTTTTAGTTAATACTACGCAAGCTCTACAATCTAAAATCTATGATATCAACTTCATGTTAAAGCTCAATGCATTTGTATTACATGTATTAAATGGAAGGAACTAGGGAAGTAGAAGCAGTATTTGTTCATGTTGAGTGTTAATGTTATAACTGTGGTTATGATGTTGACTATAAGTAAGTATGATGACATAGTAAAACTGATCGGTTGCTTTTAGTCACATTGCTTGAGGTTTTATGCATGCTTGTTTTACCACATCTCGCCTTACCTCTCCATAGACCTAAACCCGGCCACAAAACAGAGATAAGAATGGAAGGACACATGAAAAGCAATTCATAAGCCACAATGAGCGTCTGTTTTATGAACAGACAAGACATAAGCTTGTGTATGGGAACATTTAAAGCACAATGACACCACGACAAGTTAAAGAGGACATATTCTGCTGATTCTCAGGCTCAGTCTCATGGTCTGAGTGTGTTGTGTTTTGGCTACACAGTTTATTATACACTTTAAGCAGTTGAGGTTGTAATAAAGTCAAAATTGTCCCTGTAAAGCTCAAGGGCTGTGTCGTAAAACTCATAGAATTCCTAGAAAAACTTGAACAAGTGATGAAAAACCTGAAACTGCGTCACAATAATGGGATTTGTATTAAGCAGTTGAATTATCGGACATATTTTCCATTGCACAAAGTCTTTGTTGATGATTTCCAGACATTCTTTTGGTCAAAAAAGAACACAATAGTGCTCAGAGATGTCCTGCTCTATGGAGTGTTTATTAATGGAGTCTGGTAGGAACAGTGTCCTTGTAGCTGGGGAAATGTTCTTCATGCAAACAGTCAGCTCTCAATGAAGGAACATCTTCGCTGTATTTGAGTGTGTTCTTTCCACTCCTCACCTGTACTCTCCAAATGTCCCATCATCCTCCTTCATAGGCTGGATCTCTGGGTCTTGGTGAGCGTCTTCTTTCTCTTTCACTGCAGATTACACACACGTTTGATGACTTCATCTCAAAAGTGCATACATCCATTTCTTATATAGGTAATTGTAAGAGATAGGGCTTTTTTTTTAAATCAAAAACTGGCACTAAATTGCATCATCAATATCAATACGCTTGACGTTACAGTACATACTTATAATGTGAGCATTACCTGGATATTTGCCACCCTTGTTCCTCTTGATGAAGCACACGATGAGCAGGACCAAGATGAGGAGGGCGATGGCACACATCAGGCCAATGAACCAGCCCTGGGTGGCAATGTCTACCTGCCGACTGGGCACAGCTACACACACACACACACACACACACAGTATACAGTCAGACACACACACAGTATACAGTCAGACACACACACACACACACACACACACACACACACAATACAGTCAGACGCACAAACACAGTATACAGTCAGACACACACACACACACACACACACACACACACACACACACGGGGGGGGGGTGGAGACAAACAGGAAGCAGGGCTGTCAGTCCAAATTGTAATCATGGCTGCTAAAAATGGTGGAACCAGCAGTTAAGAAAGAAATCAAAATGAAATGAAAATGGGTTGATATGTTGATATTAGGCTTTTAATAACGACAAAAAAGTAAAATAATTGGTGTTTAGTGGTGATTTTAATGGATCAGTACGACTTCGGACGTGCTTGTACACTAACAAACTAACGGATGGAGTGGAATGTCGGACACTGAGAACGGAAAGATGGATGGAAACATTTTTATTTAAATGAAAACACAACGATTGTGGATCGGAGGCATGCCGCCTCACCTGGCACCGCCACCAGCACCTCGTCTGTGCTGTGGACCGTCGGGTCGGAGGGGTCTCTAGCGACCACTCGCACCTTATAGGACGTCCCGGGCTTTAACCCCTTTATCATATGCCAGTGGGAGCCGTTTACCAACTCCCTTTTCCAGTCGTCTTTACCTGAGGTCGGTGAAGCGGATGGAGAGGAATCGGATTCAAGGAGGAAGAAGAAGAATTATTTTAATGGTGGCATTTAAACGACTGATTATGTTATAATACAGCCGTTCAACGCATTGTTTTGAGATACAAAGCGAAAGCCTTACTGTTTTCCACAATATATTCCACATAAACATTCTTATGGTGTCCAAAGTAATCCCAACTGATCACCGCACCTTCGTCCGACATAGACGTGTTAACATTGCCGAACGCAGGGCCGACAGGCGGCGCTGAGCACACAAGAGAGAGAGAGAGAGAGTTGTAATTTAAATGATAAATGTACCAATTTTACAAAACCTTTACTATGAAATTAAACTGCTATTGAGGAAAGGAGCAAGTAGAAATAACATTGAAACAAAAACATAGATCCAATATGCCAGTATTTAGCATGAAGCTGCTACTGTAACCTGAGGCCTACCAGCACAGCAGTATAATTCAAATCAAGAAATAAAAAGAAACTCCATCTATACTCTTAGGTTTAGGATTTTTGAAACTGTTTGACTGACCAGAGACTCAATTTACAGTCATTTGGTAGAAAAAAAGTTGCATTATACAATACACAACAACACTGTGGACTAGGATTAGTGACACATGTGAAACATTTCTTGAGATCTGATCAAAAGAAAGTGAAATTGTCGCTCACTTTGGTCAGATCTCAAAGGGTTTTCACATATAGCCCAAAGTGAATTGATAAAATAACAGATTGCAGTTTGACATCCTTCCAAAACATCGAAACAGTTCAGTGTTATAGCTGCACAAAATGGCCATCTCCCCGAGGACTTATTTGAATTCTCCTAAAACAAGTCAAACAAGAACCAGTCAGAGAAAGATCCAACAGAAACCACTTAGATCCACTTCCTTTTCTTAATCAAACTAATATCTTAAAGACTTTTTTTGCTGAGATCGACCATTTTTTCGCAGAATAACGTGAAGGTATTCGGGGAGGTAGAAGGGGATACAGGGAGTGCTTATATATATATGCTTTTATACCCTTGTGAAACAGGGGAGGCGGAGACTGAGTGATGGGGGAGGTTGGGTGAGGGGGCTCTGTAGGGCCTGAAAGAACATTGAAAAGAGTGAGACAACACGCATACAGAACACAGGAAACAGCATAGAGTGAACTGTAGAGGCACTGATTTCAGGGGGAAGTTGCTACTGACATGCCGAGTTAAAACCTGGTGCAAAACCTCCTAACATTTGAGATTTCGAGGGGTGTTACGCACTGCAGCATGCATATACTCTTAATCAAATGCTTGTGTTTTATGTAAAAGCATTAACAGGTACATAATGTGTTAGTGCTGTGTTGAGGCATTCACAAGCGTCATGCGTGAGGCTTCCGATGAAATCATGTTCGATTGAAGAGGTAACAACTGCAAGCATAACTAGAACTAGCTTTAAAAGAAATGGGTATTTTATATATACAGTCTATGATTTTAACCTAAGATATCTCAGAACCGGACACAAGCATGGTTTGCTTACAGATGCCATGGAAGTCTGTCACACTAGTCCTATTTATTCATGCTATTATAAGTACCATGCATGGGTAATTTCACTAAAGACTATGCTATGCTGTTTTTCGGTGGTGTGAATAACATGCAGGTGCTTCCAGTGGTAAACTCGGGTTACCTTTGCCTGTCTCTACAGTGGGCTGAGTACGAGCTTCAGAGAGAAAAAGAGAAAGAAAGGTGTGAAAAGCAGTAGGATGCGTTTAAGCTCACAGGTAGCCTTGATATCAGTCAGAGCACTGTGACGTTTACCCATGCACTCCATCTTTTGTTTCCTTAACCTTCCTGTTGTCCTCGAGTAAAGTTTCCAAATGTTTTTATAGGTTTGTAGTGCCAGAAAAATATCTTGTGTGCCTGTAGACTATGTTTTTCGTGAGGAGAGAATTATGATCACTTCCATTAAGTTTGGGTTTCATTCAAATGCATGAAAAATGCGATCTTCTGGGGTCAAATGATTAAATAATTATATATTTGTGCCTTTTTCAATTAGGAAATTCTGCTTTATTGTGTGTAAATGAGGTCTATTAACCATACATTTGCCAAAATAAGAGCAATACTTGTAATAGGGCCGAATAACGTTTGCTTAAAATGATATTTTACACTGTATACTATGTAGGACAAAAGTTGATAGGAAAACAGCACACCACTGATTCAGGACTTTGACCTCTTCCTGTTATCTGCTACAGATGAAGCTCTAAATAACTCACTTGTGTCCATGACAGTGAAGGCCTCCTCTGTGATGATGGGGCCAGAGCCTTTGATTGTCTTAGCGCTTAGGTAGAACTTGTAGAGCATGCTGGAGTTCAGGTTGCCCAGGGTGATACTGGTGTCGTTGGCTGGTAAAGACATGCTCTTCACCGGCCCCAGCTCCTTCGTGGTGTTGACTGCAGACACAGAGTCACAGGAGCCATATTGTTAGGAATACATGGAAATAATAAACAAGGCATCATTTTTTTTTGGTCTGGTAGCTGGAGAGCCTACCTGGTTGGTATTTCAGTGTGTATCCAGCGAGGCGTCCATTGTTGTTCATCGGTGGGCCCCATTCCAGAGTGAGAGAATCCAAACTGGGGTTAACGACATTCAGAAAAGATGGAGGCCCCGGGACTGAAAACATGAACAGAACAACAGTCAGGGTCTGGATGCTGACCATTCATTAGCATTAATATTCAACACAAGAAGGCAAGATGGTGGTTGTGTAGCATTATCTGGTTATTATATACTGTTTATAATATCTGGTTTGCACATATTTTATTGCATTCTATTTCAATGTAAATGACTGCTTTATTTTATTTTCTATTTTAATATATTTGTTCTTATTTTTCTGTAATGTTATTATAGTGATCTTAAAATAGTTTGCCATCTGTGTTTTTGTTTAGTTTTTCACTTTTATGTATGCACCACGACACCAAGTCAAATTCCTCGTACGTGTCAACCTACCTGGCAATAAACCCGTTTCTGATTCTGATTTCTGAACACAGGATTGCTTTTCCACGCAATTACTAGGTTGTAATGTGAGGTTTTACACACCTCCTTCAGGGGTCTCAAACTTCTTGCTGGGGCTCGGAGGTCCTTCTCCTTTGCTGTTGAGGACCCTGATGGTGAGGTTGTAGAGGCTGTAGGGCTGGAGGCCCGGCAGAAGTCCCTCGCTTCGATTCCCACTGAACGTCAGGACCTGCTCGCTCTGCTCTGCAGCCTCCTCTGTGTCGTGAAAGCCGCGCTCCCGCCGGTAGTACACCTGCAGGAAACACATGAGGAGTTCATTCGTCTTAGCTTGATTTGTAGTTTGTGTCTCATCAACACGGTTAGGGGACCAGTCCAGATATGCTTAGAATGAAAACAACTGTCTTGATAGAGTCTTAAAACTTCCTTTATTAACTTCCAAGACCTGTTATCTGCTAATTCAAGTTTGGCTAAAGGGCTTCATAATTTGAAAACACGGAACAAATAAATATCACTTCAATGTATTTGGTTCCCTTTAAAATAAATTAATATGTTCTTTTATGGGAATCTAATTAACGGTTACCATTACTGTGGTTCAACATCCTATGAGGTAGGGCTGCTCGATTATGGCAAAAATCATAATCTCGATTATTTGGGTCAATAATTGTAATTGCGATTATTAAATGCGATTATTCATTGACTTTGAAAACATCCATTTATTGGAGAAAAATAATTTGAACAGTATATTTTTAACAGTTGATTACCCTGAACTTTAAGTATAATCCAACTGAAAAACCAAAAAAAAAAATTATATAAAAAAAAAAAAAAAGTAATAATAAAAAAATTATCGTTTTATTTCGATTACGTTGTTTTCGTAATCGTTGCAAGCCATAATCGTAATCGCGATTTAAAGACGATTAATTGAGCAGCCCTACTATGAGGCTAACCAAGATGCGTTAATGCCTAATTTGGTCATCTTTAAATCGTCATCTATTTTGTGAATATACAGGAAATGAATCATGTATGAAAGATAAAAACAGTACCTTGTACCCCTGCAGTTTACCTCTGACAGAGGGGGAGGAGACAGGCTCCCAGTGCACTTCTGCCAGAGTGCTGTTGTGTACCATGACCTGCACACTGTCAGGAGCAGACAGAGGCACTGCAGAGAGGAGGACGATTCAGTTTAAAGTCAATCAACTATTAACATGACGTTTATGGAACATGTAGCTAAAGGATCAGAATCAATGTTTAATAGGAGTAAATATGAGATTAAGATGTGAGAGGTGCAACAAAGAAGATCCTTTCAAGCAGACTTTACTGGACACAATGTCTTTTCGGCTGGGTTTGTATCCGGAGAAGCATATATATAGTAAAAATGTACAAAGATGTTTAGATCTCATCTTGGCCATAACCTGTATTGCAATGTTTTGAAAAAAAAGGTCCAGCAAAACTCATTGGTTCAACAACAACAAAAACCCTGAGAAACATAAAGGATGTTGACTCAGGAAACTCACAGTCTTCTCCAGAGTATCCAAACACTGCCTCGGGCTCGGAGGCGGTGCCATAATCGTTCAACGCTTGAACCTTGACCTCGTACGGCACGTAGATGGGAGTTCCAGTCACGACAAACTGGGAAACGTTGGCCACGTTCTTCGAGCTCCAATCCTCGTCCACGTCCTTCGCTCTCCACTGAACTCTGTACTCTAAGTTGGGCCCGTTAGCCTGGAATCCGGTCAGCGGCTGTGGAGAGAAATATGTTGTCATTTGCCTAAAAAACTAAAATCGTGAAATGTTCTCCCGTTTGTTTTTTGTCATAAAAGCAATCTTACCGTCCAGGATATGACTAAATTCCCAGGCTGTGTCCCTACTCCACTCACATCTGATGGATTGTCATCAGGAGCTAGAAAAACAAAAACAAATATAGATTGATTAATGGATATTTTTGAATATTTAAATATAGCAGATCATTTGTTGTGTCAATCACCTGCAGGGGTGGTCCTGTACTGGCTGGAGGGCTGGCTGGGCTGGCTGTAGCCCACGCGGTTCATACCCAGCACTCTGAACGAGTAGTAGACGTACGGAGAGAGCTTCAACTGCGCCGTGGTGCTCGTCCCAGAAGCATCCGTCAGGTTGATCCACACCCCCGGCTGGTGGAGCAGATCCTCGTACTGGATCAGAAACTCTGTGGGTGGAGTAAATATTGAATTAAAGACACTGACTTCAAATAATTGAGTTCATGAATGCAGGACTTTTACATAAAGAGTAGCAGGAAGAGTATTTCTACACTGTGGCATCACTACTTTTACTGATGTAAAATCTCTGGTTACTTCTTCCACCTCTGGTCAACAGTTACTTATTCCTTAAGCAATCCAGGAGATTATATGTCTCCCTAAAACAACATAATTGACCGTGTATTTTTCTTTCAATAGGGATATTACTCGACCTTTGGAATTAAGTTGATGGAACATGGAGTTAAAAAGGATCAGAATCAATGCTCAAGTAGTAAATATGATATGTTCAGATTAAAATGTGAGAGGTACAACAAAGAAGATCCTTTCAAGCAGACTTTACTGGACCAAAAGTCTTTTCTGCTGGGTTTAAATCCGGAAAAGCATAAATATACAGGGTATATTGTTAAAAATTAAAATCAATGTTTTGATGGTATAACGTAGCTTAAACATACCGTCAGTTTAAACGCTGTTTTATACTGAAAAAAACCAAAATTCTCGTGCACAACCAGTTAAGCTTTTATTCTGAAAATCCTTCATCTACGGTTAGCATTTAACATGTGGCTAATATATGATTTCCTAAAGAGGTGAATTTAGTAGCGAAATGACATGGAGTGGTGCAAACCGAAACCTACTGATTTAACACTACAACTATAGATGTCGAGATACTACCATGCTGAATATTAAATGAAGGTACAGTTTATTTGAATACATTATTGTTTACAGACGTGGGTAGCATGTTACAACACCCGGAACTCCACCGGAAACCAAAATGCCGTGAAGTATTTCCAGTATTTTTAAAGTATGAATTACGGCGTTTAGAATGTGTTAAATGAAAAGTGATGAAAGAGAATATGAGGAGAAGAGGCATGTGGAAGTAAGCAATGAATGTAAAATGTCGGAATCCTCCGTATAACGCAATATCGGATAGGACTCAGAAGAACGAGGGGGGAGTCCCCTACGTCACTACAGCTCCCAGAGAGGAGGAGCGAACAGCCAGGAAGCGGGAAGTACGAAGACTTGTGTGTCTCTTCTTCACGGCCGCCATTGCGAGAAGGAGCTGCAGCTTTTCTCTCCTCACCTGAACAATATTCTGCTTGTAACACTACCGCGCCTTTTTTTAATTAAAGTATCCCATTTGAATCTTCTCAGAGACTCCATTTAGTCTCATTTTTAAAGCTTCTCTCCTGGACGCGAGAATAACCAACATAGTTAACAATTGGTATGACCCCGACCGTGATCTCGTTCCACCGGGAGAGCAGTTGCAGTTTTCAAAGGAGCTTGAACAAAGCTGGCAGACATACACTCGGGCCCATACAGAAAGGTAAAGAAGTACCTGTTTATTCAAAATCTTCAATAGATTACATAGTGAACAATAGGAGTGTGTGTCTGTCTGGTAAGTTGGAAGAGTAAAATAACTTAAATAATGTCAAAGACACCCATCGTTTTGTGTCTCTTTTTCGTGTAGTGAGCCGTTGTAGACGTTCCCTTTCAGCCTCACACGGGGCACCAACTTTAGCGCATCCTGTGTTTGTCTCACCTCCAAAAACTAAGATTAGAAACGTATTTTAAACATCAAGAATCTGAATCTATCACTCTAACAAACTTTAAGAAACCAAATAAGTATTTTCCCAAATGTTAAATTATTCCTTTAAGCCTTTTTCATCCTTATAAAGTACAAAACACACGATATGAAACACAAAACGTCTTCTAAAAACATTGTTGATAGTTTCTTTGCATCACATACAAACTATATTCAGCTTTAAGTAACGGGGTTGAAACTCAGCATACTTGTTATGTCGCCTATATTTTCTAAAACACATCTATCTATGTTAATAAATGTACATAAAAAAACTTAGTTGTTGATAAAGCACAAAATCTATTAATACAGAGGCCTCGAAGCGCCATGGTTACAACATTTTATTATCTCAGTTTTTTCCGTAGTTATTTGTCGATACCTCAAAAATATCAGATGTAGTGACCCGGTGGATTCAAAACAATACAACACAATATACCATGTGCACAAAAGAGGTACGAGGTAAAATAGAGAAGATCATTGAAAGCAGATTCTACTGGACTCTACGCCCCGTATTGCATTGTTTTGGTAAAAGGCTCAAAAAGCTGAATTTGTCTTATGGTCTATGCATAATTCTTTCAAATATGTACCTTGTATTATTACACATGAAGCATGTTTGTTTTTGTTTCTTAAAATAAATCCTAAATAAATAAAAATCGTTGGGAAAAAAATATCAAATTTTGTTTTTCATAGACGACAAAATTAAAATTGTCAGGTCAAGAAAACAACGACATTTAGAGATAATGACAAATAATTAATATAAATGTTTGAAGCATGTCGTCCGTAACGTTATCCTAAAATCTTATTTGAGCATATAAATATTTAATTGGCAATTTCCTCCACTATTGAAGACAACATTTAAACGTTTTAAAATACAGCTATCATTCAACGAGTGAAACATGACTTTCCTTATATCCTTATACCTCGTCATATACAGCGGGTCAGAAACTTAAGTATATCTTTATACCTCGTCATATACAGCAGGTCAGACACTTAAGTATATCCTTATACCTCGTCATATACAGCAGGTCAGAAACTTAAGTATATCTTTATACCTCGTCATATACAGCGGGTCAGAAACTTAAGTATATCTTTATACCTCGTCATATACAGCGGGTCAGAAACTTAAGTATATCCTTATACCTCGTCATATACAGCAGGTCAGAAACTTAAGTATATCTTTATACCTCGTCATATACAGCAGGTCAGAAACTTAAGTATATCAATTAGTAGAGAGGAGGGGGACGGTCGGCACAGTTTCTATTTAAAAACCTGGACGTTAAGTGTAAAGCTTTGTGGTGAAAACAGCTAATTATGTTTTGTTTAAATGGTTACCTCCCTGGCTAACTTGCCCCTTTTCATTCAGCTCTCATCTGATTGGCTGGACGATGAAAGGGCGGCAGTAAGGGGGGGTGGGTGCTATTGGAGCCTCGTTGCGGCGAAACCGTGCGGCGCCACACATAAGCGCATAGGTGCTCCGCATTTTCGGCTCAGTTGAGGCACCCTCCGCAAGGTGAGGCCCCCTCCGCAAGGTGAGGCCCCACGCAGTCTGCATGCTCGGCCTGTAGGGAGGGACGGCCCTGTAAGCTGAGCAAGATGTGGAGGAATAGAACTCAAACGCTTGTCATGTGAATGAGGTAATAACAGCGTTGCTGGATTCACGTTGGAGTTTTAATTAAAAGCCTGAAACAGACCCTAAAGAGCGGGTATCAACACGTCAATACCAAAGTACATCTGGTGCCTAAAAGGCGCCCAAAGAGATGCTCAACAATCATCTAGACTAGAATACGATTCCTGAAGAAATTGCGGTGTGGATGATGGGTGCTGCACAGCCGGCGCTAACCAGCATCTGAAGCTCAGCGCTCTAACCCACTGAGCCACGGCGATGAGAAGGTGGAGATTTCTTTAGTAACATTTGGATGAATTGTGGTTAATATTTCTGGACTAATGAACGTTTTTATATATAACTATTATCTTATTGACCCATTATAAGACGACCCCTCTTTTTCAAGACCCATTTTTGGAAAAGACCTTGGAATGCTTTTCTCTGACTGGTTTACATTTCATATCTCTTTGCTGCTCGACAGTTGTTCGATGACTTCATTGATCACATTATCTTAAAATCGGCATCGTATCTTCTCCTCTCTTGTTTATTAACTCGCCTACTTTTGATCCACTTTGTTGGAGTTGGTCTCTGTGTCTCTCCCATCTCCATCTCTTCCTCTCCTGTTGCCGTGTGCTGTTACTGTTACGAATTATAAGATGACTTATATTCGGGTCAATGCGGTACTTTTGCTTCTCAGCATTCACACCAATTGCGTTTGGGACCATAATGCTGGAATGATCCTGTAATCTGACCCCTTGACCCCAATATTGCACATTTCAGCACCAACCCTTTTCAAACTCCGCCCTCTATACATCGGGACATGATCCTATAAAAAGGTGAATATTTTTATAGTAACATTTGGATGAAATATGGTTAATATTTTTAGAATTATTACGTTTTTTATATATATAACTATTGCTTTTGCTTCTCAGCATTCACACCAATTTCGTTTGGGCACATATTGCTGGAATGATCCTGTAAGCTGAACCCTTGAACCCAATTCCGCATATTTCAGCACCAACATTTTCAAACAGCATGTCAACCCTCCCCGATCTCCCCTACTTGATCCTCGCTAAAATGTGCCAATTTTGGATCAATAAAGCACTTCTTATCTTATCTCCCATGTCTCCCTCACAGAGTGGAGGCACTCTGCTTGAAGTCTTTGAGGATGACGGAAGCGTAGGTCATGTTGGTCGGGCTGCACAGAATGGACTCTGAATTTGGGAAGGGGTTCACGGGAGGAGGAGCGTTGTGATCTCTGAACGGAGACGGAGGCATGAGGGCCTCCTCGGAGAGTTTCCCGTCCACCGACTCCCCGTCGCTGTCGTGGATCCGGGCGTTGTTGTATATGTAGCCGTGAAGTAGCCCAAACTGAGCCTCATCTTCCTCCTCTGAAGGGGAGTCAGGCTCCTGGTGGAGGTGGGGCTCCTGGTGGAGGTGGGGCTCCTGGTGGAGGTGGGGGTCCTGGTGGAGGTGGGGCTCCTGGTGGAGGTGGGTCTCCTGGCGGAGGTGGAGCTCCTGGTGGAGGTGGGTGTCCGGGTGGAAGTGGGGCTCCTGGTGGAGGTGGGTAGCCTGGTGGAGGAAGGGCTCCTGGTGGTGGTGGGGCTTCTGGTGGAGGAAGGGCTCCTGGTGGAAGTGGGGCTCCTGGTGGAAGTGGGGCTCCTGGTGGAAGTGGGGCTCCTGGTGGAGGTGGGGCTCCTGGTTGAGGAGGGGCTCCTGGTTGAGGAAGGGCTCCTGGTGGAGGTGGGTGTCTTGGTGGAGGAGGGGCTCCTGGGGGTGGTGGCTCTCAAGGTGGAGGTGGAGGTGGGGCTTATAGTGGTGAAGGGGCTCCTGGTGGAGGAAGGTTTCCTGGTGGAGGAAGGGCTCCTGGTGAGGGTGGGTCTC